GGCCCGGCGGAAGTTCGCGCGCGCGTCGGCGGGCCTGAAGTTCCAGAGGCTGGCGCCTGCGGGCGCGTTGAGCGTCAGCGCGCGCAGCGCGGGCCAGAGCTCGGGGGCGTCGACCAGCACCGACTCGCCCATCGCTCCCGTCTTGCCAGGGCGGCCCGACTTCGCGTCGTTCACGATGACGCCCCACGTGTTGAAGCCCGACCCTGGGATCGGCGGCGCCAGCGAGCCCACGCGCAGCCTGTAGGCCTCCGATGGCCTGAGGTACGCGTGGAAGAACAGCGCCGCGAAGACCGCCATGCTGGGCAGGTTCATCCAGATGAGCCAGCCTGCGACTGCCATCGCAGCCGCACGAGGAAGAGGCAGGCGCATCTGCGGGGGCACCAGGCGCCGCCACCCATCGAGGGCCCGCGCCGACCGCGGGAGCGGCCGCTTCCCACCGAGGATATGCGGCAGGAAGTGGCGCAGCGCCGCGACCGTCATCCTCCCCGTCGCTGTGTCGAAACCGTCCAGCGCCAAGTCCGTCAGGAAACGCACGATGATGCTGTCCAGCTGGCAGGCGGTGGTGAAGTTCAGGTCGTGCCAGCCCAACCATTCCAGGAATCGCAGGGCGCGGCAGCGGTACCGAGCCCGAGTCGGGTCGGACACCGCTGAGTTCTCGAGGAAACTGAGGGCCCCCTCGAACAACTCCTCGGCCCGAGGGTGAACCACCGCCTGCGCCGCCACCATCGGAGCAGTAGTCTGCTTCAAGGCGGGGGCGATCTGCCGACAGGAGGCGCGCCTCCTCGAAGCTTTTGCCGTGGAAGAAGCCATGGCGGGATGGCCCGTCCGCGACGTTCAGCTCACTAGGTATCCACCGCACATAGCACCGAAGGTTGGTGGCCAGCGCGAGCGCGGCGAGCCTCCGCAAGGGTCGCCGACGGGTAGGCTTGCGGCCTCGACCCTTGCCAGCCGCCAGGGCCAAAGGTAAATTCTCCACGAGAAACAAAAGGCGATGGTGATGGAGCGAAACGTTGAGGGTGGCGTGCCGAACTGCGTCGCACAGCGCGTCACCCTCGTGCTCTAAAATTTTCTTGGACGGGTTCCAACGCCTCCTAGAGATCGCGGTGGCCCACGACGAGGCCTGCGTGAGCTCCTCGGGGATCTCGTTGAAGCCCTTGCTGAAGCCCTCGGGGTCCGAGTCCAAGACACCCTCGATGATGTCAAAGTCGTCGGGAACCCCTCCGAGACCCAGCGCGTTCGAACGTGCCGAAACCGCCGAAGTACACAGATATCTCCACCTCTCCGCCTGTCTCCCAAGCTCGGCCACCCGAGGCCCCACCTCCTTGCGAGCGCACGCGCCCGCACCGATAGGAGAAGCGTCCGAAGCCGAGATGTGGGGGCCCCAGGAAATATTCATGTGCGAGGTCCATAAAGGTAAAGTGCTGGCCACACACCAAAGCTCGAACTTGACGGAGGCCCACAGGGGCCTGACTCCAGGGTCTTTCTGGGACTTGAAGGCGTAGATAGACGACAGGATGCAGAGGGTCTCCCTTTTACAAATCATGGCCCACGTGATGTGGCCCAGAAGGACTTCGATCATGCGAGGCGAGGCGGCGCCTCGCCGCAACGCCGCCAGCAGCGCCTGCCGAAGTCGCAGGACGCTGGCAGGCTCCACCCTCACGGCCCCAAGGTTGCCGTCGATCTCGAGGCCCATGAAGACGGATACGGCCGAGGCGGTGTCGATCGAGTGCACGGGCCCCCCCAGGCTTCCAGCGTGCGAGTCACCTCGTCCCTCTTGGAGGTCACGGCGATGGGGTCGCCGAAGTTGTCGACGTAGCCCGCGGCCGCCACGCTGTCCTTGGCAGAGAGGACGGGGCTCGGGCGGCCACCCTCGATGAGGTCACCGTCACCAAACCCGCAGTGGACGAGGGCCCTCCTCATGATGCTCTGGCAGAACAGCAGCGACCAGCTCCAGCCCATCGGCAGGACGCGCACCATCGGCTGGAGGAAGCCATCGGCAGGGTCGGGGAGGCCGTCGAGCTGCTTGACATTGAGCAAGCGATTGGAGATGGTGGGCAGCGTGAACAGCTCCTCCATGCCCTTCGGCACGAGCATGTGGTAGAAAGCGCGCTGGATGTCGCCCTGGGCCAGCGCCGCGGGGTGGTCCGGCTCCAGGGCGGCCCGCGCCGCCGCAGTGGGAAGCGTGGTCTTGGGCGGCGCCGCGAAACCCTCGTTCGCCACCCTCGCGTCGAAGACGAGGCGAAGCGTGCCTTTGCCAACCTTCTCTACAGAGAAAAAACCCAAGCTATATGGATCACCAGCCCACGCCACGCGGAAATATATCATACCACCCTCCAGCAACTTCCCCACGAAGCCGGCGTAGGCCCTGGGGCTGTTGCCCAAAATCGGGTCGACGTACGGACGCTGCGGCGCCGAAGCCGCTCGGGGAACTGAGGCAGACGAGTCAACCTTGAGCATGGTCCGTCTCCATCCCGACAAAAATTCGCGCTCGGCCTCCCCGACTAGCTCGGCGACATCCACTGGGGCCGTCGAGAGATCAGGCCAGGACACCAGGTCCTTGTTGTAGGGCTTGACGCGCTGGGAGTCAGAGGAGTACCCAGGCGCCGCCGCGAGCAGCTCTGTCAAGGCTGCTTCGCCAGAATGAGCACCCCCATGATACTCAGGAGGTGGCGGAAAATACTGATAGGCCTGAGAGATGTGATCCATCGCGCTCGCCTGTGCCGCCGATGCCGTTAAAGCAGGAGGGGCAGACGCAGGAGAGAAATGGCCGCTCAGCTGGTTCAGGGCGGCGATGCCGTCGTTCGCCCATCTCTGCCAAGCAGCCCCGCGCTGGGCGCGCTGGCGCCCCCGACGGCTGCGGCAAGCTTCCACGCGAGTTTCCACCGCCAGAGCAGGTAAGGGGGACACATCGCGCTGACGAGCTCCAGGATCCATCGCGACAAAACGGGTGGAGACACGGCCCCCACGAAAACGCAGGACTCACCCAGGCGGCACCGAAGCGCCTGCACCCGCCTGGAAGAAGCCCTCGAAGGGCTACGCGCTCGCCGCCCGCTCCTCGCGGGCTTTGCGCCTCTCCTTGGCAATGGCGGCCTCCGCCTTCAACTGGTCAACAATGAAGTCCGTGAGAGCTGGAGCGATGCACAGGTTGCCCTTGCTCGCCGACGCTCCCATGTAGTGGTCCGCCTCCACCGCCAGCAAGCTCACGCTGGCAGCTTTGGCGCTCTTGTCCTTCCCCGCCTTCTTGTCCTCCGCAGCCACCTGCGCGGTGGCGGTGCCGCTCCTCGATGAGCTGGATCTGACGGCAGATCCGCTCGTACGACGCCATCTCCGCGCAGTTAACCTGGTCATAGCAACACCCTATCTCGAGCAGCCTGCAGTTCATCTCGTGCTGCTGGCAGATCGAGTCCGTGTCGCGCAGCATCGCCTCCGCCTTCCACTTGGAGTGCCAGGCCAGCGGACCGCCTGCGTTGCGCCTCATGTGGTCGAGGCACCATTGCGTCGTCCGCGGGCCCTTGATCGGCCAGCCCGCCTGGGGCGTGGAGGACGCCAGCAAGGCCGCCGACGTAAAGTCCAGCGCCCGCAGCCCATCCGCGTCGCGCACTATCGGGTGCACGCGGCAGTCGGCCACTGCCACCCCGCCAGCGTCTGCGGCAGCCGCAGCAGCCGCGGGATTCCCCGCTGCCGCGGCGGGCGCGGCCGCAGGGGCTGCTGCGAGCGGCACGGGCACCCCTGGGGCGGCCGCCAAGGCCCCCGCCCCGCCCACGCCAGCGGTGCCGCCGCCGACGGGAGGCGCGGAAGAGGGAGCCGCCACCACGGCCGCCGCGTCTGCGGGGTCTTCCAGCTGCACGCGCTGCGGAGCCCAGGCGGCCCCGCCGCCCACGCCTGCGGCCAGGACGAACGGCGAGGCGGGAATGGGCACGCCTCGCAGCATCGCGGCCGCCCGCAGGTGCGCCCACATGGTGACCGCGTCGGGCGCCGCCGCGAACCGATACGTGTTCAGCTCCGCGACGCCGAACAGCGGAGCCCCGAGGCCTCGAAGAGGCCGCACCTCGAAAACGTCCGCATCCACGACCGTCGACTCCTCGTAAACGTCTCCGTCCACCGTGAGGACCACAGCTGCGTCGGGCGGCACGTCCAGCAAAGTGATCCGCTCGTGATATACTGCTGGTCCTCCCACACGATATCGGACGGCATGCACATCACCTGGCCGTGGCATTCTGAATGGCGGCCCGCGCCTGCTGCGAAGCCAAACGGCGAAGCTGCTCGACTGACGGCGCCGCGCCCTCCGCGCCCGCGCTGACCGCCTCCGACGGGACTGAAGATCCCACCTTCCCAACCTGCGACCTCCAGCTCCAGATCGCGGGCACCACGAAGACGCCCACCAGCAGACCGAAGAAGAAGACCACGATGTGGCTGCACCAGGCCGTCAAGACCTGCAGCGCGTATGGCCCGTCGATGTTCGGGCAGGAGACGCTGCATGTCGGGGAGCACTCGCACGCACAGGCAGGGCACGCGGGAGACGGTGCGGGCGTGGCCGACCACGCCACCAGGGCCTGCGAGGCGCCGCGCGCGAGATCCGAAAGGAAACGCGTGGCAGCGGCTTGCATGCCCCTCAAAAGCTTGAGCACAAACATTGGCAGATGTGCGGCCACTAAACCCCTGCCCCAGCACACTCCACACTAAAGTTGTTATCATGATGATGATGATGATGATGATGATGATGATGATGATGATGATGATGATGATGATGATGATGATGATGATGATGATGATGATGATGATGATGATGATGATGATGATGATGATGATGATGATGATGATGATGATGATGATGATGATGGTGGTGGTGGTGGTGGTGGTGGTGGTGGTGGTGATGGAACCAGCGCGTTGCAGGCATACTGAGGCTCGAACCGTCTGGCCATTTGACGGCGCTCGACAAAGAATGCGTGTGATTATGCTCTCAGCCATCCGCCTAAGGACCTATGTCGCAGCCACAGGTCCTTCAGGCACTTGTCCAGGGTTGCCGCGCCTTCGTCGCCAAGGACTAGGCGCATCGCCTTCCAAGTGGGCATCACCACGAAGTTGAGGAAACCAAGCTGGCCCTTTGCCAGCGGGGGCGCCGAGGAGGGGAAAGAAGAGGGGGCCAGCCTTCCCAGAAGGCGGCGAGGCTTTTCAGAAGCCCTTCCGCCTTCTCAGATGCTGTCCGCGGCGCCAGAGAAGGCTCAGATGACTTCTCACTTCCCCCCCCTCGGCGCGCCGCCGACCTTTGCCAGCGGGGGCGCCAGCTCGCGGTCGAACAGCTGCATTGGCTGCAACCCGAGCGACTTCTCGCGGTCTCCCTGGGCGAAAAACTCCTCGGTGCAGCGCCGGCTCCACTCCCGGTGCTGGTCCTCGGGGCTCCTTCTGTCTCCTTCAATCCACCCCTCCCTGCTCCTCCTCCTCCTCCTCCCTCCTCCCCCCTTCCCCTTCCTTCTCCTCCTCCTCCACCTCCTCCTCCTCCTCCCTCCTCCTCCTCTCCTCCTCCTCCTCCTCCTCCTCCTCCTCCTCCTCCTCCTCCTCCTCCCCCTCCTCCTCCTCCTCCTCCTCCTCCTCCTCCTCCTCCTCCTCCTCCTCGTCCTCCTCCTCCACCTCCTGCTCCTCCTCTTTCTGGACCTCCTTCCTTATCCTCCACCTCCTATTTCCTCCGTGCTCCTCCACTGCTGAGTGAATACCATTGCGGGGGACGGACGTGCTCGGAAGAGGAGGAGGAGCAGGAGGAGGAGGAGGAGGAGAGGGTAGAGGAGGAAGACGAGGAGGGAGTGGTGGTCCTTTGGCCGGAGGGGGTGCCCGATGTCAGACATGTGAAGTACGTTCTTCTCAAGCACCAACTTGTTTATGTCCTGCACCCTGGCGTTGTCCTGGACCTCGGAATGGAGGGCGCCAACGGTCTGCTTGTGGACCTCCATGTCGGTCGCCAGCACCATATCGATGACCCTCGTGCGCAACGCGCCCGGGGGTGGGCTGGGCAGGTTGTGCTCAAGCAGGTTGATGCCCCTGTCCCTCATCGCCCGGAACGCGGTGGCCGCGTGATAGTTCTCGAGGACCGACCTGTCGTTGTACCGCAGGGTCAGGTCATCCCTTGTCTTGATCATGAAATCGTTGTTCACTGCAGGGTGCCCTGCCAGGAGGGCGGAACAAGACGCAAAGAGGCGCCAGACCCCATCCCCGCACCCCTAGTCGGCGCCACCCGCACGCTTCGCGCTCCTGGAAGGTGTGTGTGGGGAAGGGGGCCCCGTGCCAGCGGAAATCGGCCGCTCGCGTACGCCCGAAGCTTATGTGCACAGTGATGTTTCACGCTTGGCTGCGACCTACGTCGTGTACTGCCGCAGCCAGGAGGAGCACGAGCAGATCCACCCCGACGAAGTAGTCCTGCCAGCCCTGCTGGGCCGCCAGCTGCGACCACAAGTAGTAAGCAGTGAGGGTCACCTCGGCAGCATGGATGCGATTGTGGTAGGGGTTGCTCTTGTACTCCAGCTCCATGGATCGGATAAACTCGAAGACTTTCTCCTCAGGCGTCTTGCACAGCTGGTCCAGGCCGCGGCGCTTCCATATCGTCATGAAGACAGTGGTCAGCGGCTGCTGGTTTTCCCTTTCGAGTTCGAAGACGTCCACGCCACTCCACTGGTCGATCGGCATCTTCTCTATGCCCTGCGCGATCTGCGCCTGCCCGTAGCTGTTGCCCTTCTGCTTCCTCCAGTGCCTGATGATCGAGTTCTCCATCTGCACCCTGGTGGCGATCGCCTTGAGGCTTTTTACCCTCCTGCGGCCGCCGGTGTACATGTGCAGCCACGTGTCGGCCTCGCCCCCCTGCCCCACCTGCCGCTCCTGGAGACGCTGCGCGGCCTTGAGCTGCTTCTCCACCCGCTTGAGCGCCTCCTCGCACCTCTGGAGGCCGCCCAGCTGGAGGTCCGAGCAGATGGGGTCAGAGGATCGCGCCGCATCGCCGATGCACCGCCGATGCACCAGCGACGTCGGCAAGTCGGGCTCCACATCGAGCCGCATCGCCGATGCATCGGCGATGCGGCGCGATCCACCGACCCCATCAGCTTCGACCTCATTCGGGCGTCCTGGAACCTCTTGACCTCTGGCAGCGCCTCCTCCGAATCGCCCGAGCTCTTCAGGACGGCGCGGTACTTCGCGACTGTCATGGTGGTGCAGGCCTCGAGCGCGGTCACCAAGTCCGCCAGGCTGTAGCCGGTGCTGTCCAGGTCGCCCTCCGCCCCCGTCGCCTTCGGATCCCCGGCTTCGGATCCCCGGATCCGTCTGGTCCAGCGCAGCGGAACGCGGGCCCCGAAGATGTCGTAGAACGGCCCAGCCACTGGACCACTCCAAAACGCCCACGGCCCCAGGGACGCAAAACGCCCGACTCAAAGACTCAACAACAGCCTGGGCCGCCCAGGCCCTGGAGTTTTCCACCTGGCTCCCGCCTGGGCCCGGCATATCTCCGAGGAAGAGAAGCCCATGCCCACAAACCCCGAAGATCTCAAGGGAAGCGGCCCGTCGCCAGACAAACTGCTCGAGGCCCCGGAAGCTACAAAAAAGCGCCCGAAGCATCCTGGGAGAAGTGGGTCAAGATCCGGAGGTCCGACAGCGCGAAACACTCGAGGCCCTCTGGGGGCCCGTCTCGGGCCCCAGGGCCGTCAAAGACAGCATGGGGAACAAGAGGAGACCTCGAGGGGGGGGCCTCGAAAGACCGGCGGTCCCTCCTCCTCGCGCTGATCTTTTGGGCACGCCGCTGGGCGCTCCCGCGCGAGGGGTCAGCCCTCCTCGTCGCCGTCGGTCCCTCCTCCTCGCGCTGATCTTTTGGGCACGCCGCTGGGCGCTCCCGCGCGAGGGGTCATCCCTCCTCGTCGCCGTCGTCGTCGTCCTCCTCCTCCTCCTCCTCCTCCTCCTCCTCCTCCTCCTCCTCCTTCGAGGTCCTGAACACTTCCGGCGAGGCGAGAATTGGCCCCGCGAGGGCCGAGGGCGGCGCGGGCAGAGCGGCCTAGGGGAGAGGGACGCGCGTCCCCCCCTCCCCCGCCTCCCCGCATCGCCACGGCCAGACGCCGCTCGAGACGCAGGTCAGGACGCTGTTGCTCTATCGGCCTTTTGCTTTCTTCCCCGAGCAGTGCTTGCACCTGGACGCTTTTACTTGCGTTGCCTGAATAACTGGGCTGGCCTGCCAAGGATTCGCCAGGTGCCCAATCGGTGGCCGCCCGCGGGCGCCCCGTGCGCTGGGCGGGTCTTCCAAGGTTTCGCCTGATGCCTGGTTTGAAGGCGCCTCGTAGGCGCCCCGTGCGTTTGATGCACCACATTGTAGTTCGCGCCACACAGATCCCGTCACATAGCTTGCCACGCGTAGCTGGCACCACATATACTGCACCATACACAGAATGCGTCACGTAGCTTCAGGCTTGCAGCGCGTCGCCTGCATCCCTTATATTGCATACCATCATGTTCATCGCACGTATTTCTCCAAATGGGAGCGCTTCCCGCAGTGGGAAAGAATGTTGGTATGGACTCATGAGGGGATTTGGGACGGCAGGGTGAACTGCAGCATCGTTGATGCATCTTGGGCTTACCCTGCTCCTCCTCCTCCTCCTTCTCCTCCCCCTCCTCCTGGTCATCCGACCCCCCTCCCCTCCGTTACCCACCGCCTCCTCCTTATCATCCCCTCCTCTCTACTTATCCTTCGCCTTCCTCCGCCTTTCTCCTCCTCTTCCTCCTCCTCTTCTTCCTCCTCCTTCTCCTCCTCCTTCTCCTCCTCCTCCTCCTCTTCCCTCCCTTCCCTCCTCCCCCTTCCTCCTCCTTCTCCTCCTCCCCCTCTTCCCAAGGTCACTGCAAGGTCCTTGGAGGCTTCGGGAGGCCCAAAGTAAGACAGAAAACGTTCACACAGCCCCTTCCTCCTCCTCCTCCTCCTCCTCCTCCTCCTCCTCCGATCCTCCACCTCCTCCTCCTCTTTCCTCCTCCTCGTCCTCCTTCTTCCTTCCAAGAGATCCGGCGGCGCGATTCTTTCGAGGCATGGCCCCCCAAAATATCTCGCCATCTTCCACACGCCGGGCTTTCCAACCCGTGTCGATCTTTGACGGCCCCAGAGCCCGAGACTGGCCAAACATAGTGGCGAGGCTCTAGCCACCTCGATTTTTCTGGGCCGCCAGATCTCTGGGTCCCTCCCTCCTCTTTCCTCCCTGTCGCCACGCGGTGCGTCATCGCGTGGGTCATCATCCGGGAGACCGTTCTCTCTGGGCGGTCCGCGGCGCCGCCGAGGCCAGAGGGGCTCTCTGGCGCGAGCTCCACGAAGCTCTCGGTCGCTCCCTCGCAGGAGTGGCGACGACGACACGACGACGACGTCCTCCTCCTCGATCCCTCCCTCCCTTCCTACCTCGTCGTCTTCGTCCTCGTCGTCTTCGTCAGCCTCGTCCTTCTCCTCCTGCTCCTCTTCCTCCTCCTCCTCCTCTTCCTCATCCCCCCTTTCTCCATCCCTCCTCCTCGTCTTCGTCCTCGTCCGCTTCCTGGTCCTCGTCCTCGGCTGGCGCCGCATCCTCTCTCCACCTACTCGCATCCTCCATGCCTTTTCCTCATAAATTACTCCTCCCTGTCGCACCCCCAGACTTGTCGGTGGGTCGGGCCGGGCATTTCGTCTAAGATTTACTAATCATTTATGACCATTGCGCTTGAACTTTGCAACAGTTTCATGTGTGGAGTGCGGGCCGTTTTCAAATGTGGTTGTCGATTTGGCTCCGCACACATTCGTGTTAACAACTGCTACAAGGATGGAGCAGCCGAGTCGTGTTCAAAATGTAGCTCTTGCCTCAGCGCCGAACGCATTCGCCTTAAAACTTTGAAGCGGCTTCTAGGATAGAGGGCGGGCCGCTATCAACATGCGGCTCTCGTCTTGACGCCGCGCACGTCATGTTGAATCGCTGTGATGAGGTCCCAGGAATGGTGTTCTCGCAAGATTGAGGGCTGCCAGGACGCAGCCGTCGTGCATATTTGCCGCGTCGAAGTACTGGGATTTGTGTTTCTGCCGCGTATTCAGATTCTCAAACGGTACCTTTCAACGGACCACTTCCCGCAACCGGGAATACATGCTTGTAGGGGCCTATGAAGGAGGAACTTGGAGGGAAGTTTATTGAAACATCGCTGATGCGTCTTAGGTTTACACTGGTCAACATCCTCCTCCTTCATACTCCTCCTCCTCCTCCTCCCTCCTCCTCCCATCCATCCCTCCTCCTTCTCCTCCTCCTGGAGCCTCATGGTGAGCAACCGTGTGGCAAGACACGACTCCCGTGTGAGCGTTGCCCATGGCCAATCGCCTTCGCGGCGCCTAAGCAACGCTGCAAGCCACGAGTTCAACCCCAACCCGCGCGGCTTGGAACAAACAACTTGAAACAAAACTACTGCGCAGGAGGGCGAGGGACGGAGGGAATGGACGGAGAAAAGGGGTGAGTGAAGGGGAAAGGTAAACGGAACCGAAATGGCGAGAGGGAAGGGGGTGGGCGGGAGGGATGGAGGGACGGAAGGAGGCGATCCGGTGAGGAGGGTAGGCGATGAGGAAAGGAGGGAGGGAGGAAATGGATGGGGGACGGGGAGAAGAAGGGGAATGGGGGGAAGGGGAGGGAGAGGAGGGAATATGAGGGAAGTCAATGGGGAGATGGGGGGGGGGGGGGGAAAGGGAAATGAGCTGGATGAGGAGCGGGAGGGAGAAAGGAGCAGAGAGGATATGTGGATTGGGGGGAGGGGGGGGAGAGGAGAGTGGGAAGCTTGGTCGACGAAGGGCATGCGGAGGGAGAATGGAAAAGGGAGGGGGCAATGGAAGGGGAAGCGAAAACGGGTGAAAAAACTGCGGGTTTCCAGGGTGCTGTGGATCAAGTAAGCAATGATGGTGTTACATGTTCCGCCATCTCATCCCACTCTTCTTCTCCATCCTTATCTTCCTCCTCTTCCTTCGTCTCCCCCTTTCATCGTTGTCCCTTTCCCTCTCCTCCTCTTCTTCCTCCTCCTCCTCCTCCCACACGTATGTACTTTGTTTCTTCCTCCTCCCCCTGCTCCCGCTCACCCCTCCTCTCTCCAATCTTTCCTCTTTTGTTCTACACCTCCTCCTCCTCCTCCCCTTCCTCCTCCTCCTCCTCCTCCTCCTCCTCCTCCTCCTCCTCCGCCTCCTCCTCCCTCCTCCTCCTCCTACTACTACTACTACCTACACTACTACTACTACTACTACTACTACTACTACTACTACTACTACGACTACTACTACTAACTACTACTACTACTACTACTACTACTACTACTACTACTACTACTACTACTACTACTACTACTACTACTACTACTACTACTACTACTACTACTACTACTACTACTACTACTACTACTACTACTACTACTACTACTACTACTACTACTACTACTACAACTACTACTGCTACTACTGCTACTACTACTACTACTACTACTACTACTACTACTACTACTACTACTACGACTACTACTACTACTACTAAGGGTGACCGGCTCCTGGGTGCGAGCCGCTCCCCCGGCCCCTCCCTACGGCACTCCGTTAGGTTTCCGCACCGTCAGCGTGTTTGTGCGTGTGCGGTGTGCGGTGTGCGGTGTGCGGTGTGTTTCGTGTGGGTTTCCTATACGTTTTGTATACGTTGCCTATACGTTTTGTATACGTTTTTTTTTATACGTTTTGTATACGTTTCCTATATTTGTTCTATACATGTTGTATACGTTTCCCATATGTTTCCAATGCGTGTTGTATGCGTTTCCCATATGTTTCCTATGCATTTTGTATACGTGTCCAATACGTTCTGTATACGTTTCCTATCTTTCCTATATGTTTTGTATACGTATCCTATTTGTTTCCTATATGTTTTGTATACGTTTCCTATATATTTCCTTTATGTTTCCTGTACGTTTTTGTGTCCTATAGGTTTCCTATACGTTTCCTATATGTGTCCTATATGTGTCCTATATGTTTTCCTATATGATTCATATATGTGACCTGTATGTTTCCTATATGTTCTCTATATGTTTCTTATACGTTTCCTGTCTGTTTCCGATATGTTTCCTATACGTGTCCCATGTGTTTCGTATTTGTTTTGCTACATGTTTGATATATGTATCTTATTTGTTTCATATTTGTTTCCTTTATGTTTCCTAAATGTTTCCTACATGTTTCCTAGATGTTTCCTATGTGTTTCCTATACGTTGCTTATGTGCTTCCTAAACGTTTCTTCTATGTGCCCTATACGTGTCTTATATGTTTCTAATATGTGTCTTAAATGCTTATTATATGTTTCCTATACGTTTCTTATACGTTTCTTTTATGTGTCCTATATGTGTCCTATATGTTTCCCATGTGCTTCCTATATGTTTGCCTAGATGTTTCCTGTATGTTTCCTATACGTTTTCTATATGGTTCCTATATGTTGCCTATACGTTTCCTATCTGTTTCCTATATGTTTACTATCTGTGTCCTATATGTGTCCTATACGTTTCTTATGTGTTTCTCATACGTTTCTTCCATGTGTCCTATATGTATCTTAAATGTTACCTATATGTTTCCTATGTGTTTCCTATACGTGTCTTGTGTGTTTCCTATACGTCTTATATATGTGTCCTGTACGTTTCTTATATGTTTCCTATACGTTTCGCTTGTGCTTCTTATATGTTTCTTACCTGCTTCCTATACGTCTCTTCTATGTTTCTTATACGTGTCTTAGATGTTTCCTATACGTCTCTTCTATGCTTCCCATATGATTCTTATATGTGTCTTGCACGTTTCTTATATGTTGCCTATACGTTTCCCATATATTTCCCATACGTGTCTTATACGTTTCCTATACGTTTCTTTTATGTTTCCTATACGTTTCTTATATGTTTCCTACATGTTTCTTCTGTGTGTCCTATACGTTTCTTATCTGTGTCCTATACGTTGCTTCTATGTTTCCTATCCGTTTCTTGTATGTGTCCTATACGTTTCTTATATGGTTCCCATGCGTGCCTTATACGTTTCTGATATGTTTCCTATACGTGTCTTCCCTGTAATGTATACGTTACCTATATGTGTTGTATTCGTTTCCTACATGTTTTGCGTGCGTTTCCTATATGTCCTGTGTGCGTTTACTGTATGTTTTGTACACGTGTCCTGTATGTTTCCTATGCGTGTCCTATACGTTGTGTATACGTTTCCCATATGTTTTATACGTTTCCTATATGGTTTGTATACGTTCCCTATATGTTTTGTATACGTGTCCTATATGTCTACTGTACGTGTTGCATGCGCTTCCTTAGTGTTTCCCATGCGTTTCCTAAATGTTTCCCATGCGTTTGGTATACCTTTCCTATACGCTTCCTATATGTGTCCTATGCGTTTCTTATATGTTTCCTATACGTTGTGTATACGTTTCATATACGTGTCTTAACTGTTTCTATACGACTCTTATGTGTTTCTCATGCGTTTGTTGTATGTTCCCAATACGTTTCTTATATGACAATCCCGCATCATCCTTCCCCTTCGCCCTCCTCACCCAGGCGGTGTTTGGCGGCCCCGAAACGGTGCAGAAGGCTTCCAAGAAGCCCCCAGGAACACCCCGAAACTGCCCAAGAGGCTTCCAAGAGGGCCCCAAGACGGCCCAAGAGAGCCCCAAGACGACCCAAGAGGCGCCCAAGACGACCCACGAGAGCCCCAAGATGACCCAAGAGGCGCCCAAGACGCCCCAAGAGAGGCGCAGGAGGCCCCAAGAGGCCCCAAAGAGGTCCCAAGAGGCCGCCAGCAAACCGCCAGCAGGCCCCAAGAGGCCCCCAAGAGGCCGACTGATGCCCCCAGACGCCGCCGTCGCCGCGACCGCGGCGGCGGCCGCAGCGGCGGCTCGCACCCAGGGCCCGGTCTGCCCTACTACTACTACTACTACTACCACCACCACCACCACGACGACGACCACTACTACTACTACTACTACTACTACTACTACTACTACTACTACTACTACTACTACTACTACTACTACTACTACTACTACTACTACACTACTACTACTACTACTACTACTACTACTACTACTACTACTACTACTACTACTACTACTACTACTACTACTACTACTACTACTACTACTACTACTACTATACTACTACTACTACTACTACTACTACTACTACTACTACTACTACTACTACTACTACTACTACTACTACTACTACTACTACTACTACTACTACTACTACTACTACTACTACTACTACTACTACTACTACTACTACTACTACTACTACTACTACTACTACTACTACTACTACTACTACTACTACTACTACTACTACTTACTACTACTACTACTACTACTACTACTACTACACTACTACTACTACTACTACTACTACTACTACTACCACTACCACTACTACTACTACGACTACTACTACTACTACTACTTACTACTACTACTACTACTACTACTACTACTACTACTACTGCTACTGCTACTGCTGCTGCTACTGCTACTACTACTACTACTACTACTACTACTACTACTACTACTACTACTAGTACTACTACTACATATACTAACACTACCACTACCACTACTACTACTACTACTACTACTACTACTACTACTACTACTACTACTACTACTACTACTACTACTACGACTACTTCTACTACTACTACTATTACTACTCCTACTACTGCTGATACTACGACTACTACTACTACTACTACTACTACTACTACTACTACTACTACTACTACTACTACTACTACTAGTACTACTAGTACTACGACTACTACTACTACTACTACTACTACTACTAGCACTACTACTAACACTACTACGAACACTACTACATACACTACTGCTACTACTAACCAAACACCTGGGACCCTGGAGTCCGGGATGTTATCCTATTCTGCATCACTATTTCAAACAAGCGTTGAAATTTGAAGCTCGCACGTAAGGACAAACGGATTCGGACATCCCACTGGACGGGATCCGGCCCCTGCAGATGCAAGGCGAGCGCTTCTCATTTTACCGCGAAGCTTTCTGGTCACCGATGAGGGGTCCAGCCGCGATGGCGACGCATCCTCATCTTTATCACCGTTTCCCGCCATCGCTTTGCACGCATCGCCAGAACCCTGGGCTGGATGGACCCGCGAGAACCGATATGGAACACATGTTCCCCCATCGCCGTGGACAAAATACCGCGTGGTCTGCGTGCAAGATGACTGACGACTGGCGGAGTAGGCGGAGTGGGCGGGATAGAAATTACTCCGCGCGGACATGTATCCGCCCCACTTGTCATGACATGTTGGGCGATCATTTCCCGATCATGTTTTCAGTTAGCATGGTTCCCAACCCTCCTGCGTTGGGTTCTCGTTTTGAATAGAACAAA